CATCACAGAGAAGGTATATCGATATATTTAGAATTGCCCATAACTAAGTGTGAAGGAAAAGACATCCAAGGACATTTGCAGATGAGATGTTCCAGGCAAATTTAGTCTACATTAATCATTACCAGACAGGGGAAATACCAAAATTAACCTTAGGTGCAAATTCACATCTTAGAAATATGTGCTAAAGTGCAGAACCTTTGTTAAAGCATTTGCTTGGATTTCAGAAGAAATTGCAACATAAATTCTTCTGTCTTCACTCGCATTTACACCTTTTCTCAGAAAACTCTTGTTATACTCTGTACATAGAAATGCATTTCATATATACCCAAACAGAGCAAGCATGGATTCGGAGAGGAAACCATCAAGAGGGAAGAACTTTATAACAGGGAACATTTGGAAAAACCTAAGTTAGGGATTGGAAAACTTTTTTTGCAAATATTTTGAGTCCCTGCCACTGCTACTCTGCATCATAGCAGGAAAGCAGCCATAGAGCATATGTAAACAAATGGCTGTGGCTGTGCTCCAATAAAACTTTATTTAGAAAAACAGGCAAAGGGCCAGTTTGACTCACAGGCCATGGTTTGCCTAATCCTTGACCTAAGTCCAGAAGCAGATGCAATAGTGGGATAGAGCATAATAATAACAGCAGTTGTGTCAGGGGCTTTCCCTGCCTTACACCTGATTTTTCAGTAACGCTGCATGTTAGCAATTATCGCACTTTGGATTTTCCAAGTGAGGAAGCTGAGGTTGAGATTTGACCAGTGACCTTCCCAAGGACACAAAACAACTAAATGCTGGAGGCCGGATTCAAGTCCAAATGTATGAACTCCAAAGCTCGTGGTCTGTTGGTAAAACATGTCCCACCGCTGCCTTGTTGAGAGCAGTTAACATCAAGCAGTCATGACAAGCGATTAGTCCTTCCAGGAGAAGGGTATCCACCCTGAGTCCATTTCATAACAACGGCGCTGGGGATTAGAGGAAGGGAGGTACAGTGAGGTACAGCAGGAAAGGCTCCAAGAAGACAGCCGATGCCCACCCCAGAGGAGTGGCCCAGAGGGCTACCTACAGGGCCCAATTGTGTATCAATGCCAGTATGACTTTAAATGATCCATCCTCGCTGGCCTTTCAATCTTGCTATGTGAACCTTTTCCCTAAACACTCCCACTGGCAGTGGCCTGACATCATCTCACCCTTAATTTTATAACCACAGAGTAATTTAATTTTACAGATGCACTGTTTAAATATCCATAGCATCCCGTGACCTCCAGGATAAAGTCCACACGAGTTAGGCCCTCATGAGATGTGCTCTTTGTCTTCCCAACCTCCTCTCTGCCTGTTCCCCACGAGACTCAGGACCCCAGCTGTGCCAGACTGCTCCCAGTTCTCCACACCTCATGCCCATGCCATCGGAGGCATTTGTGCATTGTTATTTCTGTCCTGAGAGCCCTGGTTGCCTATCCATCCCCTGTTTCACCCTTCACGTCTCCCATATCCACAATTCAGAGCCCCCTGGCCATCCATTCAGCACCCTTGCCCCCAAATTAGAAATTCTACGTTATTCTGTCCCTACCCAAGAGCTTTATCAGGATTGCACGGAATTTGAGCAAAATCAGCGGCTACCTTAAATAAATCAGTGAAATGAATCCTTGGGATAATCCTTTGAATAAAGGAGTAAGTGGCAATAGCAAAAGGACAGCGAGAAGATTGGGGATTGCTGGGAAGTGGGGGAGTTGGGGGTGATAGGGTGCCAGGACAGAATTGCCTCTGGAAGGACAGTTTGTATGCCTGTGCATAATCTAAGATCGCTGAGGGGCTGGGTTGAGACAGGGGTGCAAAGAAGCCTCCAAAGCCCCGTGGAGGTGGCACGATGGGGCTGGCTCCTGGCATCATAGGAAATAAAGACAGGAAAAGGCTGTTTGACATTTCAAACAAGATCTGGGGCCCAGCTAGCTGGGGTGTAGTTTGGTTCCCACCTGTTGTCAGCAGCATGTCTGCTTAAATAGGCCCGCCTTTTAAAACGGTTACGAATTGGTACAGCTACAGGCACATCCAGGTTAGCAAATCATTTCTCAAAGTGGGCATTGAGGTTTTTCTTGCTTTTTGACTGTGTGTAATCACTCCACGAGCGTTTCCATAGGCCAGATTTGGAGAAGGCAGGTCACTACCCCACAGCTATTGTGAATTGCCTTTCAAGGAGCTTTCAAGGAGCTTGAGCCAATAATCTGACCAGCAACAGACATTCCTTGACGCATTGTTATATTTTAATTTGCCAATCAGATAAGCAAACTTATCCATGCCTCAAATTTGAGGACGTAGCACTGTCCTGTGCAGATGATGTGTAGGTGACATATCAGAGATGTTATTTTTTTAATACCCCTAAATCCTCAAAATACTCCATTTTATCTCTTCATGTATTTTTCCTACAATCTAAATCCTAGATCCCATAATTCCAGCCTTTTCTTTTTTAAGATCTCAATTTTTGGGTCTTGTGAGTATAAACTATCAAAAGGTTATCACTGAAAACCTTGAATATCATTTCGTTCCCAATCCTATTATCATGTAACCAAATCTATATTACATTTTTTTCATCATGAGAAGTAAATCTGTTACATGTTTCATTTTTCAGTGAACGATGCAAGAACTTTACCCAAACTGAGGTTTCTTTAGGAGGGATCTCCCCAGAACATAAAGACTCCTAACTCTGGGACATGAACTAGGGGTGGTGGAAGGGGAGGGGGGCGGGGGGTGGGGGTGAATGGGTGACGGGCACTGAGGGGGACACTTGACGGGATGAGCACTGGGTGTTATTCTGTATGTTGGTAAATTGAACACCAATAAAAAATTAATTTATTAAAAAAAAGGAGGGATCTCCCCATTGGAAAAAAAAAGCTGCTGCAGTTTCCTTAGTGTTGCCTTTGAAAGTACATGTTTTCTAGAGCTAGAAGTGGCCATTCACTTCACCATATACCTTGCTTTATATTCCTCTTATTTCATCTTTGGTGGCATTTGTCAATGGATGTTCTGAAGTATCACTCAACCTTATATCAATTCTTATTACGAAATAAATAATTTGGGGTTATCTCTTGTATCAAACATGAAGTGATTCTTGATTTCTGAAAGTCTAATTTGATGGCTAAGATGATATAAGTCAAAAGGCCTCTCTTTTCCATATTAACAACAGCAAGTAAATTTTCTGTTCAGTTCCAACCAAAGGTAACAGTTACTTCCAAAGGCTTTGTCTGGATATGTGAATTTCCTTATTATGGAAACTGTAAATTTTGATGCAGAAAATGTATATTTTTGTCATAGTTTGGATTTTCTTCATATTTGGTCTTGACTTCTCACAGATGAAAAAATTAAAGCTTACGATCACTTTCTTGAATTTGACACAAAATGAAAGGAATAGAAAAATAAGAAAAGCGATCATAATAATATTGACTGATGTTAAATTTCATTGGTGTTATAATTGTTAATCATTATTATATTACTAATCATATCTATTACCATTATCATGTACTTAATTGTAGTCCTATCACCAAAATGCAATGCAATATACTTGATTGGATTCTAAATTGAGAAAATAAAATTGAGAGGAAAACATGGATAATTGGAGAAATTTAAATATAGATCATATATTAGATAATAGTAATGTATTGATGTTAAGTTTCCTTAGCATTGTAATTATGTAGAAGACTGCCCTTTTTCTTAGGAGGTAAATGCTCAAGAATCTGAAGGTGATGTGTCCTAAAGTTACCAAAGAAACTATCCATATATATATTTGTGTGTGTGTGTGTGTGCATGTGTATGAAGATAATGAGAAGGTAAATACGGCAATGTGCTACAACTGATTAACTGATGGAAATACGGGTGTTCAATTGTAGTATTCTTTCCCTTTTAATATAGGTTTGAAACTTGGCAAAAATGAAAACCAGAAAGAAAATAACTATTAAGCTAATGAAGTTACATTACAATTACAATTTAGTTACATCCTGTCATGTTGGTGAAGTGCTTAGAGTGACAGTATTGCATATATCGAAGATAATCCCCAGGTATGTGATTGGAAATGTTTCAGTAACTTGAAAGAGCTATTGAAACACCACTTTGCTGTGAGATAAAAGAATTTAGTGCACTACCTTTGTATATCCCCTAAATTACCATTACAATGTGAATGTTTTATACAAATTTCAAATGCTCACCATTCCTCCCAGAAGCTTCTCATGCTCAGAAGCACACTGTTAACTACACTGACCTATGCAAGAAGTGTTCCAAAAATATCGGTCTGAATACTCTGGCCAAATCCGGTCTATATTGAAGCACAGATGGATGTGCACAAGAAAAAGTATGTTTGAGCAGATCTACAGATAATTCAAACAAAAGCCCACCTGTGCGAGTCTTTAACACCAGCGTGTAGGCTTTCCCCAAATCAGCCAGATGGCAATTCGAAAAGCAACAGCGCTGTAGGTCACCTTCGCTTTGAGTATGCCCTGCTACACGGGAAAACACTTATCTCAAGCTCTCGGAATGAATAATTGAGAGTCAGAGCCAATTGGAATTTACTGTAATTGTACTCATTTCAAAAACGATATCACTGTAACTAAATTCTAGGTTTCTCCTGTCCCAGCAAAATTCTGATCAGGTTCTTAGGCCTCCTTTTAAAAACATAGAAGCTAAATCTCTGCAGCGATACTGCGTGAGGACTGCATCAATCACACAACAGGAGCCAGATCTGACCCGTCCAAGTTGTTAGGTCAAAAACATTTTTTTAGAAATGCCAAAATGTGAACATGAGGAGGTCAGAGAAGGGAGTGTTTGACTTCATTTCTCTTTACCATCCCCCTCCATGGAATGCTTGCATCCACTCCCGCTCACCTCTGATTTGGTCAACGAAAAAAGCATCTTAGATGTTATGATTGCATCTGGCTTTGGATGAGAAAAGACTAAAAAAGGGAGGAGAGAGGTGACAGAAGCACATATAGGGCCTGTTGCCTCTTTTTTCTTACCTTCACTAACCAATCTGCTCCTTTGGTCCGGAAGAAACAGCAATTGACCATATAGAGATGAATAAGCCAGCCAGTGCTTTTTTTTTTTTTCAGAAATGTTTGCAAGCCTTCCACTGGTACGACCAAGAAACTAAGTGGCTCATTGCATGGCCATTCTTCTTATAACTGATCCCATGGAAAGGGAGTTGTTTTTGCTCAAGTCTGATTTGTGCTCAAGAACAGTGGGAAGTCCCAGGAAGGGGGAGGCAATAACTGACAAACCCACATTGAGCCACAGAATGGTGTTTCTTCCCCTTTTTTGAAAAATGAAACCTATCTATGAAACTGTCTCTTGTTAAAATAGTTGATTGCTACGCTTTATATAAGAACCCGAACAACATAAATTTACTCCTCTAACAGTAAATTCTCTGGGATCCCTTTATCAAAAGAGAGCCACTGTCAAGTAGGATTTAGAAAATTCTCAGTTTCATTGCTAACCTATAATTTTTTGAGAAGTATTCTCAGATTTGTACTCACAATCAAAAAAAAATGCAAATGAAAACTGTTTTCTCTCTCAAATTAACCAAGGTTAAAAAAGAAGGTGTGATAATACACTGGGTGGGCAAGGTTGTGGAGAAACAGGCACTCTCCTATGTAGTGGTGAGATTGTAGACATTTCTAGAGGGCCTTTTCCCAGCATCTGTTGACTTTTTTTCCCAAAACTTTTACATATCCATATCCTCTGACCCAACGACTTTATTTGTATAAATTCACCTATGTCACATATTTACACTTGTGCACAGAAACATTGAAAAGTTATTTGTTGCAGCATTAGGGATGCATCAATAGGATATGAGCTAAGTAAATGTAGAGCTTTATAGAGTACTACACAGTGTTACAGTGATCTGGCTTTGCATGGAATCATAGGAAAAGATATCCAGGATATATTGTTCAGCAGGAACATATAATATGCTCCAATTTGTATCTTTAAAAGAATTTGTGTGTATGTGTGTGTGTGTGTGTGTGTGTGTGTGTGTGTGTGCTTACACAGAGTAGTTCTATAGGGAGATGCAAGAAAGAAGCAATTGCCTTTTTTAAAGATTCTTTATTTAAATTCAATTTCATGGGCAGCCCCGGTGGCTCAGTGGTTTAGCACCGCCTTCAGTCCAGACAGAGAGGCAGGCTCCCCATGGGGAGCCCGACGTGGGACTTGATCCCAGAACTCTGGGATCACACCCTGAGCTGAAGGCAAATACTCAATCACTGAACCACCCAGGTGTCCCTGATGCTCACCTCTTGATATCATCCCCTTGCAGAGTCCCCTGCCCACACTGAACCATGAGTGACCATTAGAATAATGTGGAAGTGATAGGGGGATCCCTGAGTGGCTCAGCGGTCTAGCGCCTGCCTTTGGCCCAGGGCGTGATCCTGGAGACCCGGGATCGAGTCCCGTGCTGGGTTCCCTGCATGGAGCCTGCTTCTCCCTCTGCCTGTCTCTCTCTCTCTTTCTCTCTCTCTCAATTATAAATAAATAAATAAAATCTTTAAAAATAAATAAATTCAATTTCATGAACACAGAGTGTATTATTAGTTTCAGAGGTAGAATTTAGTGATTCATCAGTTGCATATAACACTCAGTGCTCATTACTTCAAGTGCCCTTCTTAATGCCCATCACCCAGTTACCCCGTCCCTCCACCCACCTCCCCTTCCAAACCATGAATATGTGAATATGTCCACTTAATGGGTTTGTTTTGTTTACCTTTGATCTATGACTTGCCTTCAAAAGTTTTAAGTTTAAAGGTGTATTGGGGGGATCCCTGGGTGGCGCAGCGTTTCGGCGCCTGCCATTGGCCCAGGGCGCGATCCTGGAGACCTGGGATCGAGTCCCACATCGGGCTCCCGGTGCATGGAGCCTGCTTCTCCCTCTGCCTATGTCTCTGTCTCTCTCTCTCTCTGTGACTATCATAAATAAATAATAAAAAAATTAAAAAAAAATAAAGGCGTATTGGCATTTTATGTATGTTAGAGCCTCTGGGGATTTTCGTCATTATTTCATGGGACACTACTTAGATCCAGTTGGAAAGGTAGATTCCCATATGTGAGCCATAATATGAATTAGCGTTGAATCTGACCTTCAAGAACTTAGGTGTAAGCAAGAGGTTTTCATAAATTGAGGACCAAATATTGTTTTATTTCATTTGAGTATAGGTTCAACAACTACCAGATGTACTGAGAATATTTTAGAACGGGTCACGCCTGTGTCCAGAAACACTTTCTGAGCTCACCTAGCAGTACCATGCAATAACCGTTATGGGGGGGTTCCATCTGCTCTGGGTTGCATTAACTCGTATTTATTGTTTATTTCAAGTACAACATGTAGATTTGTAGCATACTCATGATTTTTGTCTCAAGTTACACATTTTATGGAAATCATTCTTTGCAGAAAATATTTTCTGTCAACAAAAAGCACTATGTTGGGGTGCCGGGCTGGCTCAGTTGGTAGAGCATGCAACTCTTGATCTTGGGGTCATGAGTTTCGAGCCCCATATTGGGTGTAGAGCCTATTTTTAAAAATTTGGGGGGATTGGCATTATGTCAGGTTGGCTTACCATTCATTTCTCTTTTGATAAGACCTGAGTTTATGAAATTGGCTTTCGACTACTTACTCTTTGCTGACTGTAATAAAGCAGAATTATATCCTGTGTAACTAAAATCTTACAATATGATTTTCTGTCCACCTGCTGATGGTAGGTAAAGAGTTACTGCCTTGATTTCTGTGCCTCTAACAGGATATTTTTTCCTGTTATTCAATTACCTCTCCTGGTGTTGAACGTTCCTCCAAGCTATTTCCATTATGATTTCATCCATACTTAGCTCACCCCTAGTCCTCAATAGGTTTCCTCCACCCTACACTCACCTCCTAGTGCTCTTACCAGGGCTCTCAAATTCCTCAGCCATTGGTCTTTCTGTCACGTCATACTTGCCAATGGCCAGTTACCAGTAAAATCTATCACTGCCTCTTGCATAACTAAGAGAAGGGTGAATATGTTGTGTGTATGTCCCTATACCTATGCACATACACACAGCTGATCAGTTCACAAGCTTAATCCCTGAAACTTCAACACTTTAGAGACAAATTCTTTGTCTTCCTGAGTTATATTCTCCAGCCACATACAAGATAATTTTCTCTCTCAATATCAAATGACTGAACTGAACCTACTTTCTCAAAGTTACCAAGGCCCTTCAACAAGTCTCATGACCCTTGTCCCACTCTGTATCCTCTTTGATGTTTCTATAGAATTTGGCACTGTTCACAAATCTCTGTTTTGTTTGTTTTTATAGAAGTTCATGTACTTGGTAAAAGTGTAAATGATACTAAAAGGTATACAGTGAAAATGTACCTTCTCTTTCCATCTGATCTACAGCTCTCAGGTCCCCCTCCCCAGAGGCACTTAGGATTGTCACCTTCTTGTGTATCATTCTGAAGATCACATACATCTTTTTGTATACCAGTGATTGGGTACTACATAGGCTATTTTGTCCTTACCTTTTTAAAAAATGTTATTTATTTATTTGACAGGGAGAGAGAGAGAGCATGATCATGATCAGGGGAAATGGGAGTGGGAGCAGAAGAAGCAAACTCCCCGTGGAGCAGGGAGACAAATGTGGGGCTCAATCCCAGGACACCAGCATCATGACCTGAGCCAAAGGAAGCTGCTTACCCTCCTGAGCCACCCAGGTACCCCTTTTTTCTATAAATTTTTCAGTGTCAGTATGCGTAGATTAACCTCATCCTTTTTATTTTTTTAAGATTTTATTTGTTCATTCATGAGAGACACAGAGAGAGATTGGCAGAGACATAAGCAGAGGAAGAAGCAGGCTCCATGCATGGAGCTTGATGTGGGACTTGATCCCAGGACCCTGGGATCACAACCTGAGTCAAAGGTAGACTTCAGCCACCCAGGTCCCCCAAACCTCATCCTTTTTAACAGCTACACAGACTTTCAGTGTATAGAATGTTCCAGTAATGATGTATTTATCCAGTTCTTTATTGGTAGAACCCCTCCTTTAGGAAGGTTTCACTACCACCATCCAGTTGATTCTTTGCCATTGCACACTGCTTGTCACTCTCCTACCACACCACTTTCTCCTTTCTAAGAACTTTCATTGGTTTCCTATCAACCTTCCATTTCCTAGAACTGAAATTCTTGCTTCTCCTCCTCCCTCCCACCACTGCCCCCCCCAAGTATCTTCTTTTGGTGAACTCCTCACTTGCCACACCTGCCGTTATCTTCTCTGGATGATCTGTGAATCTGTAACTCCAGTCTTCGAGATCTCTCTCCTGTGATCTCCAGATTTTCAATTAAGGATATTTGACTGCTTCACATAAATGAGGCCAAATCTTTCATCTTTCAACCCCAAAATTTACATCTGTACTTATCTTGATAGCATTATTCAAGCTCAGTACTTTGAAATTCGCTCTAATTCCATTTTATCCCTCATCTCTATAAAAGATTAATCACCAGTGCCTGCCAACTCAACTCAGTAGGCCAGAGTAGCTTATACTCAATTCGATCTATGCCTCTAGGAAAAGCGCCCAAAACAGAAGGACTTGTGTCCATACAACAGTACATAATTGTATAAAATTAAGCTTTTTTCATAACCATGTATAATTTGTAGCATCTTCAAAACAATCCTGTTTTCCCATATTCATTTTCAGTTTATTTTAGTCATTTTTATGATCACTGTTTCCTGCAGACACACTTGTAGTTTTATATATAAAGTTTTCATGCATTCCCTCCACAGAAGATTAATCTTAATTGATATTCTCTAAAAATTAACATGAACATGTTAGAATTTAGGAACATGTTACATATTCCATGGAGTAAAATGAATATGACATTTAAAAATTCTTGATTTATACTTCAGTAAGTCTAATTTATACCAAAGAAATCCATAATGTAAGCTCTGGGGCAGTACTGCTTATCTTGAGGACGGGATGACAGATGATAATTGCTTTATTAAGTACAACATTCTGAATTCCTATGAAGCTGTAATGGCTTGTTGTGCACTAGAGATTTTGTTATTTAGGATATAATTGATTGTAATGTGTACCGTTTGCTCTTGAATAACTCCCATTTTCCACTTCAGAGAGATTTTCAT